CAAACTGGAGAATCTAGTTTTCCATGTAAAGCATTGATCAGCAGTTGTCGCCTCTACAAGGATTTGGGGGGGGGTATGTCTGGCAGGGGGGTGTATGGCACCCTATGAAAAAAAAAACGCTACCCAAGTCATGCTAAGATGAGAATGCAGGAATGGAACAGAACAGAAACTACCATACTGGGCTTTCCATACATTGGGGCTCAAGATACCGAGTCCGTATTAGTTTGATTTTTCAAAAGCCTGAAATTTTTGAAGCCTACCATATTGCTTGGGTTGTACTGCTCACAGAAATATGTGTCTGTATAGAGGGAGAAGTATAGGCACAGAGACACAAACCGAGACAGAGACAGACGGACACATGTGGGGTTTGACGGTAGGGGTGAGGGTTGGGCCGTGGGATTCAGTGATATGCAGCATCGCAGCGAGGTCTGGAGATAGGATCACCCAGGCATGCGCCCAAAGTTGTGCAAGAAGACCATAGTTGCTTCCTAGTTCCCTTATTAAGGTAGACCTTAGGAGGACCCTGTGATAGTGGTATAATAGGAATATTAGAGGCCCTAATAAGATCTTTAGTGCTCACTATAGTCACTACTACTGGGTGCGGGGTCCACCTGCGGGAGACCCCTCCAGTTTCCCGGTTACGGCACAGGGGTTATAGCAGCTCGAGATGGCTATCAGTGTTGCTGCCTTTGCTGTAGTCTCCTTAGGAATTATTCCTGATTGTATCATAGTATAACCCCATGGCTTTATTTAAGATATTGTTGATCATAGGATACTGCAAGCATGTGCTCCGTCCCTCAATGGCCTTACAATCTCGTGTAGCTTTATCTTCTGCAAAGGCGATGATGTTTAACAAGATTCCTACTATACATCTTTGTCGCGCAAACTCGTGGCATGGCTGTGCTGCAACCCAAACGCTTCGTTTATGAAGATTATGAGTATCCGTATTTACTCAACTGCCCTTTTGGAGCCTCCTACGCAAAGGATCCAGGTCGTACAAAGCAGCAGCTGGTCTGGGTTGTATTGAACTAAACCCTAAACCCTAAACCCGAGAAGCTGTAAACTTCAACCCTTAGCTCTGAACCCAGTGAGCGACAGGCTCCAGAAGCACGTTGAGGAGCAGCAGGCGGCATTGTTTTGATGCGAACCCTAAGCCTTAAACCCATCCTCCCAGCTTCCGGTTCGACTTCTTCTGCACTGGTATAAACACGCAGGGTTGTCCTTCTGGAAATGTCTAGATGGATGAAATTTCCGAGTAGCACGTGCACTTACAGGCCATGAGAAAGGGCTTAATAGTATTTGTTGTGCCTTCACTAGGAACCTAAGGAATGATGCTTTCAAGTTGTGTCTGCGTGTATTTCCACAGCATGTCTCAAACTTGACGCCATCCCCCTCCTCAAAAACATTCAACACACGCAGGGCGCATACACCATGAGACACAGCGTTTATGGGGGCTAGCTATCTACCCGTATTATGATCCTACATTTCTTATATTATTGTTACTATTATCGCATGGGGTGCCTAACATGGACCTCCAAAAGGTGCTGGTACTCATTCAGGGCAACCCCTGTATACACCCACAGGGTTGAGGGTTTAGGGTTCAGGGTACGTTAAACCCTAAACCCTAAACCCTTAGGGTTTAGGGTTTAGGGTTTTCTTGTTTCAAATTATCATCCCAGAGTTCACACAGTGCACCTCGGAGGGATTTACAGAAGACAACTGTGCTTTAACCTAAGATAACCCTACATGAGCTATACAATAATGGAAAAGAAAATGGAAACTACTAGGTTATATAGGGGGTATGTAGTGGTTAGTTATATAGGGATAATGGAAAAGAAAATGGAAATTACTATAGGGTTTGGGGTGTAGGGTTTAGGTTCAGGGTCTAAACTCCTCGAGGGCGGGGGTCATAGGGGCTTATGGGGAGAGTATTACTGTATGGGGTTACAAAGGGGCATGCTAGGAGTGTAGACGAAAACTACAGCTCACATGTCTCCTACAGGACTTAGAGCTTATAATTCTAGATAACCCTTAAGTAGTCGCAAACAGCCCTATCTAAGCCAATGTAACCCCGTAGAACCCTGTAGAACCCAAACCCTGAAAACTGAACCCTAAACCCTGAACCCTAAACCCAAAAATACACCCGAACCCCAAACCCTGAACCCTAAATCCCTACAGCCCCGTGTGCCTGTCGCAAGCAGGAAGTCAAGAGCTTCCTCAGCGTGGACTTGTTAAAACAGCAGGCCAGGCCCCCCTTGTAAGGGATTACGGGGTTTAGGGTTTAAGGTTTAGGTTTAGGGTTTACACCCGCCAAGGGTACCCCCCCAGAGTTTAAGGAGCTAGTAAGGACATAGGGTTTAATAAGGCCTAATAGGGT